AGGGACGGCTAGCGCAAATAGCCCTCGTGTAGCTTTGCGCGAAATTCAAAAACAAACAAAAAGTTGGAAGAAAATCTTGCTAGCTCGATAGTAATTTCCTTATTATTTTCAACAGGTTGGCCTACTACTGATTTTCATCATTTTCAAGAAAGTCAGGAAAGACAAGGTTACCAGATGTCCAGAAAATAAGCCACTATTATGATAGTTTGGTGAAGACTTTGAACTAAAAACGAGGCTGAAATCGCTTCAAATAGCGAGAAATACTTCGAAAATGTTATCAGAACTTTCATTTGGATATGTACTTTGTTAACTATTTAAATGATTGTTTTATTTTTTTCCTTATATATATATATTACATAAGCCTCCGCCCGTGGCTTCAATAACCACCATGGGCAGATTTGTGCTTAACAACAAACAATTATGTTACTAATAACATTATTTTGGGATACATGTTGCAATTTTTAACCTTTACCAGATTATATGTTTAGTGTATGTATTAACGTTTTCATTAAAGTATGTTTCTTCTTATTTTTAGTGAATAACCTTATCAAACGTTTTTCACAATCTACTTAGAACTCACTGACTCATAAGATAAACAAGATTACAAAATTCATGTCCTTAGCAAACAAAACTAATTTTCATGCACTAATTTACATAAATAGTAACCCGATTCTTTTAAAATATTGTCGGAGTTAAAAAAAAAAATTGAACATTTCAATCAATATAGCCCCTCGTAACTAAGTGGTAAGCTTGAGGGCTTATGACGCTAAAAATCAAGTTTCGATGTCCAAAGTGGGCAGGACACTGATAGCCTGTTAAGTAACTTTGTGGTTTATAACAAACAGTCATTGGCAAACATATTTTTTGAACACAGTGTTAAAAGTAAATTTAATCTACTAATGATAACATTAGCATACATCTGTCCGATGTAGCGGAAAAAAAAACACCAATTTACAATTATAAACAATAATAAGCTGGTGCTATCTGCAATGCCCCCCCCCCCCCTCAGTGGCACAGCGGTATGTCTGCGGACTTACAACGCTAGAAACCGGGTTTCGATACCCGTGGTGGCCAGAGCACAGACAGTCCATTGTGTAGATTTGTGCTTAACTTCAAAAAGCATACAAACAAAACAAAGCTACCTGCAATACGTTAGCTTAGCCTAACATGACCTAGAATTATCATAAAGAGCGAGGTTACACAGCTGACGAATCAATGCATTCCAATCATTACAGAATTTTGTATTTGTGACTTTACATACATCTAGTTAAGATGGTATATTAAATCAGCTGTGTTAATTATGGTTAATATTTAATTCTTATCTACGCAGGTCACTTCCTTGAATCAGAAATTAATGATAATAATGGCCTAGCTTGACGTGTTTGCCACAAGTTTATCTGAACATACTCTACTTAGTCTTGATAGTCTAACCTGTCTGTCAACGGATTTTTTTTTTACTTCCAATGCAATAAAACTCCCTTTTTTTTTTTTGGCAGGAGTGGTTTGGAGCTCCTTTTCTAGCACTGATATAGAAAATAATTATAACATCTAGCATCAGTACTTACTTGTCCAATCCTTATTACATGGTTTCTTATTTTTAATAACATGTTGCTCCATCCCTTCTGTGTAATAAGTTTATAATTGATTAATTAATTCCATGTATAGAGTTAACAAAACACATTAGCGATACAACATATAACGTCTAGTTTTTCATCATTATTATGCCATAAACTAGAACATAAATACGTTACTGTATTCCGCCCGACTGGGTGCATCCTGTCTCGAGAACAAAATTGCATCAAGGAATTAAAAATTAATATAAAATGATTTTTTTAGTCTTTCTTCCACACAGTAAAAAAAAAGCTTTACAGTTAAAATTTATTTCATAAAAACTTTTATTTGTTTAATTTTATACGTACAATGTTGTTTTAAATACAAATTCTAATTATACGATAATTTCAGTGCGCTCCAAACGAAAATGTATATGTTTGTGAATTTCCTAAAGTTTTTCAGAGTATAATACAACACTCATGCTCATAGCCGCTGAGAGAAAAGTCGAAATAGGCTTGAACAAAATAATCATAGTACTGAAACCCTTTTTACGTTATTTTCAACTGTATAAGGCAATATGGTTTCCAGTTCAACAGAGATTTCAAAGAAATCAAGACAAAGTGATAAAACTTACCTTAGTGATGTGTTGCAAGAAGAAAAGATTGGAGAACATCTTCCAACAATATTACGGCCCTGATTTTTCTTAGAAGCATACTTTATCATTTTATGTTTCACCTGAATTGCGAAGTTGAAATATGATGGGATTAAAAAAGGTTCCCGTATAACAAACGAGTTAAGGTATATTTAGTTAGATCATTTTCCACTCGACTGTATCAAGTTTACACAAGGCTTCATCGAGTGTAAAGTATAATCCAAGTTAATCAGACAAACACATTCTACTGCTAGAATATTTATATTATTCATAGGAATAACTTTATCTCTTGTTATACCTCTTGTTATCTCATGCTTTCCTAACACGAAGATTTTGCTACTAATGGTCGTTATTCACGCGCCCGCCATCCTTAATCGAAAACGAAGCTCATTGCACAAACAAAAAACAATGGCATCGTATTGCTGTTGTTTGCCGATTTAAACAAACATCTCTTGTTTCACAGCTTTCCTACATATGCTAACAAAAAGAAAGAGTGGCTTGTAAAGATCCGACGTGGTGGATGACCTCTGTTTTAGGTAAATAATGCAAAACTAAAGTGCAAATTTACATAGACCTAGCCTAATACTTGTAATACCATTAATAATAGGGTCCGGGCCTATGCAACCGAGTCCTGAGCATATAATAAGGTTATATGAAATTTTAAACATATACAGGAAATTATAGTGCTAACCAGGCCTTTGTATTCAGTAGTCCTAGCTGATCTATATGTTATCTGCATTTAAAGATCTAATATTGTAGTGAATAAAGCTCAAACTGGGCCTTTAACACAGTAGCTTAGACATATTACGCTTGTATAAGTATATTGGTAAATAGGAGCGCCTATGAATGGTATTTGTGTTTGAGGCACTAAAAGAATAAGATCGGTTATAGTTTTTGCAAATGTAGGCATTCATTTTCAAAATAGAAAGTTTACAAAACTGCGAAAGTAACAACAATGTTTCCTATGGTAAATAAAACCTTTTGGACCCGCTTTAAGTCTAATCTTGATAATTAAAAGTTGTTGTTGTTGATGGATTACAAATATTCAGTGTCTCTTCCCATCCTCTATCAATGCATAGGCCGAAAGTAAATACACACAACCGCATGGGCATCTAGTACTGTATATTTAAACTACTATGGAGTTTTATTCGTCAAGTTATGTACACACAATTATAATAATAAAAACCAAGTGTCGGCCATCAGTCGGCCATGCTCGATTTCTCCAGATTTCTTCCTCTCTTCATTGCCCCTTCCCATTTTAGTTGAATTCAATAGTCAAAATAGGCGTAACTAGCTCCTAACTGTCGGTACTTTTTCTGCTATATAAATGAATGTCAAGAAGGGAATTTTTATATCAAGAATTTATTTAGCACCGATTGAAATTAATTTGCCGTTTGCCATGATGAGACGTTTCAGAACGATGATCGAGTATTCACAAACAATGTGGTTTTAAAAGCACCGCCCCCCAGTGGCACAGCGGTATGTCTGCGGACTTACAACGCTAGAAACCGGGTTTCGATACCCGTGGTGGGCAGAGCACAGAGAGCCCTTGTGTAGCTTTGTGCATAATTAAAAACAAACAAACAAAAACAATTAAAAGCACTATTGCAATAATGCAACTGATGTGATAAGAAAATAACTGTGATCAATGAATGCTGGGACAAGGGTCGATGCTGAGAAGAGAAGCTGCAATGCATATTGGAGGATTCAAATTTGGTAGGCTTTGGCTTCCCGTAGTTACGTATCTGCTTGTTTGTTAATTTCCGGTATAAATTATTTCCTAGGAATTGCATCCATACAAGTTCACTTCTT